CTCAAGCTGCGCCAGGGGAGGTTTAGGTTAGACATTAGGAAAAACTTCTTCACCGAGAGGGTGGTCAAGCATTGGAACAGGCTACTCAGGGAAGTGGTTGAGTCTCCATCCCTGGAGGTATTTAAAAGAAGGGTAGATGGTTGGGTTGAGGACATGGTTTAGTGGTGGACTTGGCAGTGTTAGGTTAATGGTTGGACTCGATGATCTTAAGGGTCCAACCTTCCACTGCTTTTTACAAGATGATCATGCAGTTTCTTAACCTTTCCATGTATGGAATAGAACCTTTAATGACTACTTTGCACGCTTGTATTAATCATAACTGGCATACATGTAAACTGTTATCTCACTACTAGTGAAAGAAATCTATTTTCTGTGTTTTAGCATAATTAATCACTAAAGTGAAAGAAATATTTGAATAACTGCAGTGATAAAGGTATTACAATTATATAGGATTTTAAAAAATTAACGTATTGGCTCCTATAAGCTGGGTAGGTTTTTAAGTTCAGTATTTTGGACTGAGATACTGAAGACATTGATATATTGGTGACTTAATGGATGACACACATTTCCGAGAGTGACTGACTGAATTGCAGACCTCCCTGACTTCAACAGATACTTAGTGCTGCATTCTAGCAATGTTGAGCCAACGCATCTTTGTGTTTCATCCCATATGCTATGTTGCCGTATGCAGTTAAATCATTGCTGCTACAGCAATTTCTTAGATGCTTTTCAGAAAAGAGTGATACAGTTACGAAGCATATCATTAATTACTGCTTGTGTTTTTTAAGAATCGAGCAAGCTCAGCTGTTGAACAGATGTCCACTGTACTAAGCACTGTGCAAATAAAGAGCAAAAAAGGGCTCCTGCCTGAAAGAATTCCCTTTCTCTAGGCTTGTCTTTATTTGGATTAGTAACTAAAGACACAGCTGACGTTTCGCTCCTGACTGCTGTATGCAAATCTTCAAAGCTGATGTTCAGGTAGCTTGGGGAGAGGTGGAGATGGGGCAGTGGGAAGATGATACACCCTTAGCAGGTACTGCTCGTCTTCAGCTTCCGATCGCCCATGCTGGCAGGTGCAGGGGAGACCTAGCTTCAAGTGAGACAAAGGAGTTGAGTGAAGAGCAGTCTTGATTGCAGTCTTCATGAGCTGAGCCCTGAAACTTTTTCCTTCTGGTTACATTGCAGGCAGCAACTTGGGCTTATGTCATGTACGCTAAGTGTGAAGAACCAGTGTAGGGCTGGTTGCTAGTAGGCTGATCATACCATGCAATTGGAGAGCTTGGAGACACACATGCATCAGCATGAGTTTACATGTATATATGCATATGTATAGTGTGTGTGGGGGAGTAAGTACAAGCTCAAGTACGGATGCAAACCTACCCTTAGTTGACTGTTCACACAATCTCAAAGCATTTATTAGTGTAAAAAAAAACTGCAGGTGATGGGAAAATATATTGCTTGACCCAAACCTGAGTGCTCTCAGGTTCAGGATTTTTTTTTTATTTAGTTTTCCTGAATGCATTTGCGTTTTTCTGCCACATTGCAGCCTCATGTTTGCATGTCCAGCTTACTGATTCAATGCACTTTTTTCCTGATAACTCCTCAGCACCTATTTAAGTTGCTGTTTGTATTGTGTGTTTCATAAGTTGGAAGTATTTATTTCTAGCAGGAATTTTATGTTGTCCCTGTCTTCTTGGCTGCTGGCACATTACTGTAAATGTCCCTTGTTAAATGTGTTTATATCATCTTGTGTTGTCTAATCTCATACTTCAAAACAAGCACTGAAACCTGCAAGTTTCTCTTAAGCCCTTAGCAGCATTCAGTGAGCACCACTGTCTGTTTAACATCAGTCTTTGGGCAATGAAAAACAGCATCACATCTGCTTTTCCCCACCTTTAAGAACAGAAATAGATGTAGCACACCTTTTTGCAGTGTCTTTGATCCAGGCTCTCTTCGCTGTTTTAAAGCTAGTCCTGATCACTGGAACATGATCTCCTGACAGAAGGTCTTTTCCTCAGACCAGAAGCTTTAAATGTATGGGCAAGTCTTTACAGAATCTGTAGAGCTGGAGCTAAAAAAAAAAAAAAAAAAATTTTTTTTTTAATGTATTCCATCCCTCTGGGAACAGTGCATTGGCAGATATTTATCCCAGATGTGTATTCAGCTCCATCTGGCTTCCAGTAAGTCCCAAATTCCAGTTTTTCACAGCCTTGCATGTATTCCTTATGTATTCTTATGGGAAATTGAGACAGGAACATAAATGTGTAAGACACATCTTGTTTATTCTGTGTCACTATATGAGTCTGCTTTGGGTGAGTCTGATTTGGGTAATATTTTGTTTTTGTAGGATGTAATTAGCTATTTGGAGGAGGAGGTCTGTCAGTTCTTTTGCTCTGTGTTTCTTCTAGCTCTTACAAGATTGTGTTAGATCTACCTGGATGTCTACAACTTTGAAATAAACTTTTAGATTCTCTAGTACTCAATAATTAATTTTTGGGTATCTGTAGTGCCAAAGCAGAATGGTGTATTGGCAAGATTTTGTGTATTCAGATCTCCTTTTGTTGTTTCACAAAGATTGTGAAAAGTTGTGATGTTTCACAAAGTCCGATTTCTGAATGAGGCTATTTTTCTGGTGTTCATGTAGGCTTAAATTGATTTGATTAGTTTTCTAGTGCTTTCATTTTTTTCCACTGCTGGTATATTTATCTGATATTCTCTGAAGGACACCATCTGATTTTTAAGATTGTGAAGTAGGCATGTTTTACTAAATTTTGCAAGCTAGAGCCTTAAAAAAAAATTTTTTTTAAACAAGATTCACTATTCTGTGATTTTTGATCTGAAAAAGCTTTTATTTTATTCCTTTTCATTCATATATATATGCACACATATAAATACATTTAGAATGAGCCTTCTATGAATCCTTGTTGTTATTAAATCACTTGTTAAAGTACAGTAGTTGAGTCTACATTGTCCTCACAGTTCAACTATTTTGTTTTGTTCTTTACACAGGAGCCCTTACCAAAGTAAAGGAGAGTAAGCGACATGTGGAAGAGGGGAAGATGGAGCTCCAAAAAGCTGAGGGCATTCAGGAACGCTGTAACATTATTTCTTTTGCGACCCTAGCAGAAATTAATCATTTCCACAAAATTCGTGTGAGGGACTTTAAATCACAGATGCAGCATTTCTTGCAACAGCAAATACTCTTTTTTCAAAAAGTGACACAAAAGCTAGAAGAAGCTCTTCACAAGTATGACAGCATTTAATCTCTGAACTTTGATTTGTGGACTTTCCTCAGTATGAATGTGACTCAAGCAGCAGAGCAAACATTGCTGCTGCTGAAGAACTGTTGCCAGTGGTAGATGGTGGTACAAGGATGGTTTTGTGTTCACCTGGAATCCTGGTTTAATCTCCGTTTACATAGAAAGGCAAGAGTTATAGGGCTATGTAGTAGAAACAGTACCACTCATTGTAACTAAGTTATACTGTGTATGCCTACACTACCATTGTAACTTTTTTGAAATAATGAATATACTATTTGCCTTATTGCTTTTTGAAATATGGTATTTTAGTGCATACTTTGTAGACCTCAAACCCTTTTGGATCTTTAAGGAAGTTGGCTAGATAAAAGCCTGCTTCAGATGCCTTTTTACTTTCCTAGATTTGGATTTCCTAAATTCAAACGATTCTCTGTTTACAGACTCCTAGTAGAATCAGCCATGTGATTCTGTGCCTTTAGACTCTATTTTTCCTTTTTTAGTAAGTCACATTTTTATGATTGAATGAATGAAGGGTTGATGCCTATAACAGGAACTGATTATGAAACCTCATATTGACTGGAAAAAAATCAGCTGCCATCCAGTTTGCACAGCAAGTACTGTCTTACAACAAACGTCGTCTCAAAAAGGAGAGCTTAAATCTATTCACACTTGCCCTGAAAATGGAGACTACTTGTTACATGTACTAGGATGTTAAGCACATATACAAAAATACACCACTAAATCCCCTTTCCAAAATGAATATTACAGTGAGGGGATTTTTTTTAGCATAAAGCATTATTGTGAGTGGAAATTTGAAGAGCTAGCCTAATAAAAATGATGTTTATCAAGGGGATATGAATGCAAGCTGTGTGGCTAGAACATTTTTTTATGTTTGAAATGATCTGCTCATTGTTCATTGCTGATTCAGTTTATCTTCAGACTTGCATCTACATTGCCAGTTGTCTGAGTTGAGACTCAACTGTGATTCATTAGTTTACTAAGTTACAAATTTTCAGGGATGTTCAGTAATATAAATGATCTGAAATAAGTCTTGGCTGAACTGACTTGGAAAACAGGTTGCATTTTAATGTTTATAACACTCAAGAATTAACAGTTGTCTTAATTTTTGTATAAATATTTTTGACAAGCAGGGTGCATTTATATATATGTAAACACTATCTTTTAAAGAGGTTTCTGACTTATTTCCCTTGAATTAAGTCTGAAGTCTGTGTTTATAACCTATTGGTTTCCTTCTTATAGGTCAGTATGAAAGAGGGTTTTTATTTATCCTACCTTTTTTCTCCTAAAGAAAAATAACAAAACCTTCCAAGGAAGCAAAATGTTTAGTTTTTTTTGTTTTAATTAAATTAATCAAAGATAGCTTAAACAAATGAAAGCCTGGAAAAGGAAGTTAAGCAATAGTTACATTTAAGTACAAACCATTCCTCACCTATGCAGCAGAAATGTACAGTTCTTTTGCTTGATCATGTAAGTTTTTGTAGCTTAACCCCACACCTCTGTTTTAGAGGAATAAATGTAAGAATGTAGTTTTGGTTTTAAGATTCATCCTCAGATGCTTGGAGATTGCTATTTTGAGCATGTTGCATTTGGCAGTGCTGCTAGTATGTACCCAAAGAAGTAAAATACAGAATAACAAAGAGGAAAAAAACAGTATTTTTAAAAGAAAGGACAGTCAGTGAGGAAATTCTCCATTTCCAGGCTATGAAAAGAGTGCTGCAAACAAGGTTGACCATAATATAAGGACCACAGTCATAGGGCTGACTTCCTCTTTATCTTCCTCATGGTGTCTCGTTCTACATTCAAAACTCACCACTTCCCATAATAGCTCTTCCCAGCAGTACTCCAGCTTCTCATATGTTGTTTAATTACATGAGATAGTGATGAGCTAAGTTTGAGCTGAGTTCCATGGCTTGTGTTTGCTTAAGCCAGATACTGTCTTATTAAATGTCTTTGCAGTAATTAGATCAGACTACAATCAAATTAATTCTACGTGGAGGTATTAAGATCTGTTCAGAAATTGATCTTGTTCCAGTTGAAGTATTCTAGGCGATTAGTATTAATGACATGTACGTGTCCAGGGGGAAATTAAACTGTGATAGGTATACATACAACATTATCAGATAGGTACAGTTTTCCCAAATAAACTCTCATGACCTTCACCTTACTTTCTCATTTGTGAATTTCTGGGGTGGGGGGAGAGTGGGGGTGCTAATTGGTTAAACTTGATGTACCAAAAAAACTTGACTGGAATCCTGGATCTGAATTGTTGCAGAGTTTGGAAAGGTTCAAATCTGCATCCATATTAGCATCTTCCTTTTTTCCTTACTCATTATAGAGTTGGAGTTAAATTGATATAGGAAGCCTAAACTCCATTAATGCTTACTGCACTATGTGAGAACTACAGTTTTCATTTTATTTGGAACAAGTATCACATTGACCACTCATGACTGATGGACTACTGCATGGTGTGGTCTGAGATCCGAATGTACTCTACAGTAAAGTGAATGTATATTGTGTGGGACTGTGGAAGCATCAAAGGAAATCTAACAGAATCCTTTTAAATAAATGAAGGTGGAGGAAAGCAAATTAACTCTACAGAATAATGTTAAATGCCTTTGTTTTATTCCATACCTATAATTTGTTTTTGATGCATCACAATTTTTGCATTGACAGTAGTTAAGTATCTGGTATACTTGCTGGGGGTTAGAGAGGTTGAAAGCTGCAAGATCCACTGAGGTATTGGTTTCTGTGAAAGTGCTGAATCCAATGAAAACTGTGGAATAAATCCATCAGGGGAATATATCTACTTAGAATGACCAGCAAGTGGAGTGTGAATAATGTTTCTATTTAAATTGTAAGTTTTAGATTTTGAAATTAACAACCTGCTAAAATGATTAGATCAGTGTGATTCCGAGCCCTTTTGTTGTCTGATACTTGCAGAGAAGATAGTTGCCTCTATTTATGACTTGTGCATGTTTTCTAGATTCTCTCTACCAGTTTCAGGGTCCAATGGCATGATACACTTGATTTAGAAGTGTTCTAAGACCCAGCTTAGTAGGAGTAGGAAAATTATGTGGTGATGAAATATTCCAGACAAATACCAACAAAATCTGAAAAAAATATGGGGCATTGTGGTTACTCCAACCCCTGCAACAGGAACTGCAGATACTTCAACCCCCACGACAGGTACTGCGGCTACTCAAACCCCAGCGACAGGCACTGCAGCTGAGCCAGAGAACCAACCTGTGCCGGTATCAGTCGCCCCTATACACAAGAAGAAATCTTGGAAGTGAAAGTCAACTCGTTTAGAAAGGGATGATGAACCCGGGCCCCAGGGAGGCAGCAGACTTCCCTAAGAGGAGGGTCTGTCTGGCATATTGGACCCTCTGTTCCCCTCGGAAGGGAGTCGCCTACAACTATAACCCTTCTTTCCTTCCTCGTGGAGGTGGTCGTGATACAGGGGGTAGGCCTTTCTGACCTTGGTGACACCTCTGGTGTAGATGGACCGTCATCCACATCATCCTTTGACTGGCCTTCCACATCCAGAGTCTCATACCTTTTGTACAGAGGCACCTGGGAAGGCGAGGTGAGCAAGGAGGGGGTTCGCCTGCCACCCTGAGCATGGACTTGCCTCCATTCACTCCTTTCCTTTAAGCTACTGCCTTCAGCCTGGTGGGGGGAGGATACAGGATCCCCTTGGTCTTGTGTTTTCTTCTGGTGGCTGTTCCTGTTTCTGTCTCAGGGAGGGCAGAGCATGGTTCCACCAGTCTATCTCTTTCTCAGCCTCCCTGATGCTCCTTAACCTTTCTACTTCCTCTCCTAGCTCTGCCACCAGGCTAAGCAGATCATCCACTTGGTCACACCTCACACAGCTGTTGTCACTACTGCCATCTGTTACCAGTGAAAGGCTCTGGCATGCCCTGCAGCCTGAGACCTGGATGACTGCATGTTTTCGTGGGAGCTCTGTCTGGGTTGCCACATCCATTCTGGTGAGTGCAGAGGACATAGCTTTCTGCCTCTTGGATACCATAGCTAAGCTCCTTCTGAGAGGGAGATGACCACCAATTGAACTCACCTCTTGAGCTGGTAGGGTGACAACACCCTTCCTGGACGCCCTGCCATGTGAACTGCTGTGCAAACTGCCACACCACACTCTGTTTGCCCGCTCTGGTCACTAGCACTCCCCAGGCTGCTTTTTATAGGTGTGGTGGTGGCCACCGTTGCTCTGGCAACACCCAGGCCTCATCAGCATCTCTAGCAAGAGCTGCTGACTCCCAGCGGGTCTCTCCGCTGCACTGGTGTTTCCCTGCCTCAGGAAACCACCTTGTGCGCTGAGATCTGCCGCTCTGCTGTGGATCGGGCCAGCTTCGGAGCAGCCCACCTCTTCAGAATAAATTAATTCTTCTATCACCAAAACACACTTTCAGAATGGTGGAAGAGATAAACTTTTATCTCGACGGGGAGATAAAAGATAGACATGCTGGAACCAGTCCAACAGAAGACCACCACGATGGTCAGGGGGCTGGAGCACATGAGATATGAAGAGACACTGAGTGCACTGGGTTTGTTCAGCATTAAGAAGACAAGGCTCCAGGGGGGATCTTATGAATGTGTACAACTAACTAATGAGAAGGTGTAGAGAAGACAGAGCTAGATTCTTTTCAGAAGTACACAGGGATATGATAAGAAGCACAGACACATGTTGCAATATGGGAAATTCTGAGTTGATATAAGGATATTTTTTTTCCATCATGAGAGTGGACAATCACTCTAACAGCAGCCCAGAGAGGCTCCATCCTTGGAGATACTCAGAACTTGATTGGACATGGCCCTGAGCAACCTGATCTAACTGGCCGTGTTTTTAGAAGTGGGTTGGACTAGATGGCCTCTGTAGGTCCCTTCCAACCTATGTGTTTCTGTGATTCCATGATATTAAATACTATCAAAGAGCAGGAAAGTCATTAAAATGAGCTGCCACATAGCGATAAATCCTCTCTCAATACTGTTTCACACTCAGAAGCAGAATACCAATTAAAAACATTTATCAACCTTTGAAACCTTCACATTGGACACAATTCAAGTTAGTTTATGTCAATGGGAAACAGTTTCTTGCAAAAGCATTATAACATTAATCAGAATGTTTCTTTCTTCATAATAAATATACTGGAAAATTCACAATCAGTTTTGCTTCTGTCATTTACCTGATACCCTTCTTGATGCAGTTCAGAGCAGCTGTGTGCAAAATCATAAATGCTGGTCCATATTTCATAGTTCATTTAGCAACTGGAGAGTAAGATTAAAGAAACAGAAATGAAAAATAAGTTTGTTGGCATGTTATGTACTTTCCCATCTACTCATGAATGGTATTAGAATTCCAGTATGCTACTGTGGTGGGCTGACTTTGGCTGGCTGCCAGGTGC